TTTTAATTTTGAAATATTTTAGCTTATAAACTATATATTATTTTCATCCCTTAAGGAAATAGTTATGCTCACTGTTAATTTTGTTACTATTATTAAAATGGTTAAATCTTTAACTTAATTTGAGTATTAAAAGTTACTAATAATTGATGAAATAAGTAATATAAATTATTTGATAGATTAAAATCAGTTTATAAATAAATACTTCAATTATTATAATCAACTATTTTAAAAAAACTACAAACTAAGAAGATTATGGATAATATTAGTAGTCCTCACAATATCAGTGATGGCCATAACCTCAGTCATCCCTTTAACTATGAAAAATTTTTTGGTCTTTTTTGCCAGTTTTATTTATTAAGTTTGTACAATTGGCATTTTTTAAAATTTCTCTTAACTACTTGAATGTACAAAAAACAAAAGTTTACGGTAAAATATATATGCAATGAATTTTAATTTAGAAACTAAAGATGTGCAAAAAGAAAGTTTAGGACAAAAAAATGCCAATTGTACAAACTTAACAGACAAAGTTAATTAAATGATAAAAAAATTACATTTTTCATATTTAAAGGATGAAACAGTATAAAAAATAATTTAAAGATTGAAATTGTTTAAAATTAAAAGTTGAAGAACTAATTTTGAGACATTTAACCGAAAGTAAAACTTATGAACATGTTACATGTTTCCACTATGTGATTACTGCCGTTATTGGTGTTGCATGTGTAATAGTAGTGTAACACTGTAACTAATGTCTAAAAGATAGGAGAGTGACTGGAATTTTAGTTATTATTATTATTATTCGAAAGCTATTTTGTGCCCTAATTAATAGTCTTATTGGTCCTGACAAATTAGAGTTAATATTTTGTTAGATCACCTTTTTAAGAGGTAAAAAATTTCTCATAGTATCTTTACTTTCTTTTAATATGAAAAATCATATTGATTAATTTCTAATAAAAATGGCGCCGTTTTCTATAGTCAGGGATGCAAATCTGAGAGAAATGAAGTGAACCTCCCTTCATTAATTTGTTTAATTTAAAATGAATAAAGAAAATGAAAGCAAAAAATAGGATAATGTTATTAGTGCCGTACTGTCAATTAATGATGTCACATTTTTTTTTATCTTTATTGGTTATTATAATTTTAAATTTAGAGAATAATGTCTATTCACCTTATCTCCTAAATATTATGAGGAAAATCATCCAAAACTAATCGTTTCAATAAATTTCTATTGAAAAAAAATTAAAATACCTTATTTTTAAAGCATGAATTAAAATGTTTTTTTTTATCTTTTCTTACAATACTTTATTAAAATTATGTAGTTTTAAAGTAATTTCTTTTTAATTTTTAAGAGATAAGGTGAATAAACACTAATATTTTAAATTTATTAAGAAACAAAAAAATATAAAATTTTGAAAAAAAATATAATATAATTAAAGCATGCGTGTCTTGTTTTATAATTTGCTATAAGATGAACTGCAAGATAATCTTTTGATAAAGGATATAATAAATAATAATATTAAAATAGTATAATATTAATATTATTTAGAATGTGATAATAACGCCGTCCCAAAAAATACTATGACTCTATTCATCTGGTTGTTAATTAGGAGCAATTGTAATTGGTAATTAACAACAGGTAAAACATATGATATATATATTTTTAATTTTAATAGATTTAATTTTTAATTTAGAGTGTTTAAATTTAGTTTTTTTTAAATATTATTTAATACGTTTATTTTTATTTTTTATTTAAAAAAAATAAGTATAACATATACTAATTATTAACTATATAAATTTTATTAATTAATTATTATATCTTATTTTATTAAATAAAAATAAGTTTACTAAAACTAAATAAAGAGAGTAGTACTTAATACTTTCAAATTAACTTATAAATTTATATTTTTAAACTCTAACCAATTTTTATGATGAAATAGATGAAAGAAAGATTAAAAATTATAAAGCATAAAGTTTGATTATATGTTAATAATTTAAATAATTTAGTGATAATCTCTTTTCTATAAACCGTAATTCAAATTGTATGAGATAAATTAAATGTCTTTTCTAAAAATATCATTTAGCCATACAAGAAAAGAAAAAATAAAATACTAATTTTTGGAGATTGGCCTCTTACTAGTGGAATAGGAATAGTAATATTTGTACGTAGGCCAGTACAATGGAAGGAGACGGTTGTACTACTGAACTGCTTGCTCTCCCCATAGTCCGTACAACAAAGTGATGTTACCTAGTGAATGAAGAAATTCAAAAATGTAATCTTTCTACACCCTCTAGCCTTGTTGTCACCCATATAGTTACATTCATGAGTCTTTTGTTCACGTGGATTATATTGGAAAGGTGCTTAACTCTCGTATCTCAAAATCAGATTTGATTACAACATTCATATAGGTATTTGATTATTTACTCTTTAGATATATTAATTAGATTAGTTTAGGGAATGATTATAATTTGTGCTATAAGTTATGCTTCTTTGCATTTATGTATTGCCTAAATGAAAAGTCATGAATACATTATAATTCTTTTATTATTGATATATCTTTGGTTTTGTCAAAAAAAAAAAAACCGTAAAATAGAATTACATTGATATTAATAGCAACTACACCAAGGGGATCAAGTAGCTCATCATTTCCTTGAGCAACTACATTTCATATACCATATATGAAGAGGCAATATAACTTTAGGATAAAATCATTCTTTGATCAACTTATTAATAGTTAGAGAATGAAGATCCCTTGCAACTCAATAAACAAAACTATTAATAAGGAATTGTTAAAAACAATAAAAGAGTCGAAATTGATAAAACAAATGTTATTTGAGATTGGATTATAATACTTAATAAGAAAATATTACTGATATAATTCTATTCAATATATATATATTTTTTATCAGCTAATTCTATTCAATATTAATTTTCTAAACATCAAATTTTCATGACTTAATGAGGATTGATTGTAGTAGAAAGAAATACGAAGAATAGATTGAAGTAGTAAGAAACAGGAGAACGGGGCCACTTCTTCGTATTTCGTAATTGAGAAGCATTAGTCTCTTGTCCCTCACAACTTTCCAGAACTTAAT